CTGTGGTTTGGTTATAGACCGGGGCGCCGCTCCGCCGTTATTTCGACTCGTATGTAGGTATCATGGTAGGTATAAGTACGGAGCAGTGATGAGGTTGGGTGATGATGTGATGAAGATGGGTGAGGATGTGATGATTAAGTGATGGGGATGGGTGAGAAAGGATTAGTGTGGACTACTGGCGTCTGTTTTTTCTAGTTAGACAATACCTACTGTCGACAGTAGGTATTGGCGAGGTCAAACAAACATAGATTTACTAAATCCAATCAATGTGGGTTCACTTGCCCTGTACTTATACCTACCTTCTTCTTCTTCTTTTCGTGTGGGACACCGAGTCGTTCAATGACCCGATGAACCCTGGTGTCAGAGTTTTTCAACCGCCTACTGCAAATAGCAGGCCTCTGACATGGTTGTGTAACGACCGCCATCATAGCATCACAGCAACTAGGACCGACGGCTTTAACGTGCCCATCCGAAGCACGGAACCATCTTACTTGCGGACAATCAGGTGGTTCAGCCTGCAATGTCTTACCAGACTGGGAACAAATTCACAAAGTGATAAATAATAAGTGAACCCACCGGGAATTGAACCCGAAACCTTTGCGTGGCAGGCAGGCATACTAACCACTGCGCCACATCGGCTGTCATGATACTTACATACGAGTCGAAATAACGGCGGAGCGGCGCCCCGGTCAATAGCCTATCCATAGACAAAGCGCTATTCAGCTGGGCGCCCCGGTGAATAGCCCTCGGAATAGCCTAAATGACTATCGAGCGGGGCGCCCCGCTATATAGACACTTCCTTTTTTAATGCCTTTTACGGCTCTGGGATCATGCCCTTTTGGAGTAGTTTGACGTATTTGCGGTGATACCAAATTGGAGAGACTCCCCAAATTTGGGGGGTTTTGAAAGCAGTGGGGAGAAAATTGGGAAAATATCTTAAGCGAAAAAATTGGGGCAGGGGATTTAAGAGTTTTGAACAAGAGGATTTTACTCTCCTTGACGTGGTTTTTGCATCAATTTTCACTATTTCGAGGCTATTTGAGAGGAGATGATGAGAATCATCTTAATTTTTTGTGTCGATTATTTTAGAGCTTGTGGTGGGATTCTGCTTGAAAATAGGATTTTGATGATAATTTGGGAAGAAACCAGACGGTGAACTTAGTTTATAGCGTACTTTTTTAAAATTCATGAATTTTGGTGCTTTTGGGGGAGAGTTTTTCGACCCAGATGTGGGGAGAAAGGTTGACAGTTATCTGGCAGCACTGTGTTTTTGATAACGATAACGCAGCGGTGGTTAGCTCTGTTTACGAAATCTTAAAAAAACAAAACATTCTAAATTAACATCAATGAAAAGAATGTCTTCAATAAGAAAATACATCGGTAAGTTAGACTCCGTAAGATTGCCGTTGAGAGTTTGCTTTCGGCATTATCCTAATTTTGAGGTTATAAAAGTTTTCTCCCCATTCAGATATTGGAGCGAACCTAACAGATGAAATGTACCAGGGCGTCTACCATGGCTCCAAGAAGCACGAGCCTGATCTAGACAAGGTGCTGGAGCGAGCTTGGAATAATGGCATGGATAAAATGATTATAACAGGTGGAAGTTTGGTGGACAGTAAGAAAGCTTTGGATTTGGCTCGGACTGACTGTAAGTATAGCATACAAAAACTACATACATACATATATCACGCCTTTATCCCTCATGGGGTAGGCAGAGCGTAAACCATTTACACCACATCTGACAAACATTTGAGAGTCATTCAGATGACTGTATCATCATAAAGTCAGGTTTTCAGCCGGTCGCCTAAAATTGCAATACACATCAACTCTCAAATCCCTTAGTTGCTTCTTACGACACCCACGGGAAAGATATGGGGTGATGCTATTCTAAGCTGGCACTGCATGGCATATTTCTCAGAATCCGAAAACTGCAAGATATCCAAACCCTACATACCCTGCTTTATGCTCAAATGTAGAAAGCCTGGGGAATTTGTTTAAAAAAACTTAGCTAGGGAATCTTCTCAATGAATATTTATTCAAGTTTAAATGCATGATCCCTAGCTAGTTTCATCTTAATTACTGTTCCGATTTACTTGTTGTTGTTGAAGTCCTATGGTACCCCGCTGGTACAAAGGGCCCTGGAGAGCTTCTTCCATTCCTCCCTGTTCTGCGCCGTGGTTTTCGCTTGGTCCCAGGAGGCTCCAACTGCGTTCAGCTCGCTTCGTGTGGTACACCTCCACGTTTCGACAGGTCTGCCACGTCGACGCTTCCCGCTTGGCAGCCACTCGAAGGCAATCTTGGCCAGGTTGTCGTCGCTTCGTCGTAGGGTGTGCCCAATCCAGCTCCATTTACGGTGAGCGATTTCCTCCGCGACTGGTGACTGCTTACATATGGACCACAGTTCCTCGTTTCGAATGGTGTACGGCCAGTAGATGCCGAGTATGGAATGCAACGATTTATTTACGAAAACTTGGACTTTGTTCAACAAGTTTTTCGTTACTTTCCACGACTCACATCTGTACAACAACACTGACTTTACGAGGGAGTCGAAGAGTGAGATTTTGATTCGCCGGGTGAGAATGTTGGATTTCCAAACAGGTTTTAACTGGGCAAACACACCTTTGGCTTTCTTTATCCTGCCATCCACGTCTTCGTCTGAGCCACCACGGTTGGTAATTGTGCTGCCCAAGTATGTAAAATTACAGACGGACAAGAGGGGTTTGTTGTCAAGGAGTAGAGGGTCCTGATCGTCACAGCATACGCGGAGGTCGACAGTTTTCCGCGCATTAATACGCAATCCCATTTTTAGTGCCGCGAGTTGTAGAGCTTCTAGCTTTTCTTTCATTTCCGCTGCAGTATGCGATATTAACGCTATGTATGTCGTCCGCATAATATCTTCTAACATGCCTCTTCCCCATTGTAGTCCTCTAGGTGTTCGTACTACTTCCCTCATAATATCATCAAGCAGGATAATAAACAATAGAGGTGATAAAAGACATCCCTGTTTGACTCCTGCGGTGATTTCTATCGGATCACCTTGCGTCTGCTCGTGCACCACTCTGCAGGTGCTCTGGGTGTAGAAAGATTTAATGATGTTGACTATCTTTCCTGGTACACCTCTTCTTCTCAGTGTTGACCACATTGCACTCCATTTTACGGTGTCAAATGCTTTTTCAAAGTCTACGAAAGTTATGTAAACCTCAAACTGCAGTTTTACGCATTGCTCTATAAGTATCCGGATCGTGTTTATTTGGTCAGCACATGAGCGTCCAGGGCGGAAACCGGCTTGCTCTTCGCGTAAGGTTCGTTCTATGTGAGGTGACATCCGGTTCAGCAGGATCTTTGCTAGAACTTTTGCAGCAGCAGGAAGTAATGTTATGCCGCGCCAGTTGTCACACTGAGATAAGTCACCTTTCTTCGGAACTTTAACCAGCAGCCCTTGTTTCCATTCTGTGGGTACTTGTTCACATTCCCAGATTCGCGCTATCAAAGGGTGCAGTAGTTCAGATGATCGCACTGCGTCTGCTTTAAGTAGCTCCACGTTAATATTGTCAACACCAGGAGATTTGCCAGATTTAAGTTGGCGGATAGTTTTAACTACTTCATGTACGGTTGGGGTGGTCACGGGTATATCAAGTAAATCATCAGGAATTATACAGAAGCTCTCGTCCGCTGCACCAACAGTACGTGTGAGTAAACCACTGAAGTGTTCGTGCCATCTTTCTAGCTGCTCTGTTATAAGTCTTATGGTAATTTAAAAAAATTATAGTATTTTTTTTTCTTTCCCAGCAAGACTATTCACAACAGTCGGTTGTCATCCGACAAGGTGCACAGAGTTTGTAGCGGACCCTGAAGGTTACCTGGCTGGTCTGAAAGAGGTCATATCTCAGAATAAGGATAAAGTGGTGGCTATCGGAGAGTGCGGCCTGGATTATGAAAGACTTCACTTTTGCGAAAAAGATATTCAGCTAAAGTATATATACTTATTTCCATATTTCCAAAACTCATAGATTTCAATCACAATTTTAGTTTATTTTATTGTTATCACCATTATCACATTTATCACACTTTTAGACAATCTAACATTGACCAAAATGCTATAGTATAAAGTCATAAAAATAAAATAATTTAAGAGAATAGGAAGCTGTGACAGGGTAGCTACCCATAGTACAGATGGCCACTTACTGCATTCGCTGCCATATAACAGTTGTATGGCGCTCCCTTTTCCACTTGGTGGTAAATTCAAGCCGTGAATGCAGCGAGGGGATGCCTTATCTTTAAGCACTTTAGTACCTAGACCTTAGTAAGGCACTATCTCCACACATGAGAAAAAGGACATGGGATGGTGAGACGTGAGACATGGTAAATCGCGACACTGAAAACCTTTTTCATAATGTATGAAAAATAATATAACTGTGAGACGCGCGTCTCATACATCGCCGACGGCCAACGTTCACTTGTCTCACAGATGTAATCTTATGTCTCTCGTCTCTTGTGTGAAAATAGCACCTAAAAATTATATTTCTTTATTTTTAACTCATTTCAGATACTTTGAGTACCAGCTACAGCTTAGCAACCAGTTCAACCTGCCATTATTCCTTCACTGCCGGGCAGCAGCGGATGACCTCGTGGACATCCTAACCAGGAACAGGGAATCCGTTGTCGGGGGAGTCGTGCATTCCTTCGATGGCAGTCAGGACGCGCTTGACAAGATCTTAGCTCTTGGAATGTATATTGGTATCAATGGATGGTAAGTGATTTAAATCATTTTGATTGCCGTGAAATCGGATTTTTATACTCAGATAATATTTCTAAACTCGCAAGAAACGCAAGTGATCGAAAGTTTCGACACCAGAATGTAATCATACATCATCAGCAACTAAACGTGCCCTGCGTAGTGCGAAACCATCTACCTTTTTGGACAATCAGGTGGTTCAGCCTGCAATGTCTTCACCAGACTGGAAATAAATTCACAAAATGATAAATATCAACTTTGTGATTGACCTACCGGGTATCGAACCCGGAACCATCTGCGTCGCAGGCACTCGCACTACCATTGCGCCACATCGACTGTCAACATGCGAATCATAGGCGTGTACAGGGAAAATGTTGGTTGTTCCATGTTGTTCGTTCATCCCGCTATCACTGCCGCTCACATGCTAGCGCAGTTTTAATTATAGCCTAAGTTTTTCTTGTCTTCCAGCTCACTAAGAACAAAAGAAAACTTAGAGGTGGCGTCTAAAATCCCCCAAGATCGCCTCATGATAGAAACCGATTGCCCCTGGTGTGAAGTAAAGCAGACCCATCCCGGCTACACTCATGTGGTCACCAAGTACCCAACAGTTAAAAAGGAAAAGTACTCTGTAGGTACCGACAGCCAAGTCAAAGGGAGGAATGAACCTGTTAATATTGTGTAAGTTCAAAATCATCAGACCCGCTTTAAAATAAACATTACATAGCGTAATTCGGATAACCGACTGAGGAGGACCGAGGAAAACCGACGGTAAAATTCCAGTGCACCATATGTAAAAAAAGTGGACATAGGCGCTCAGATCTATAAAAAACAAAAAAAATTAAATATCTTAAATGTCTGAAAATTAAGCTGGTTTTTTAGTAGGACAGATAATCATATTTCAAAAATCCTTTACACTTTCAGCTTTCAGAAATAATTTACTAGTAGCTGCCTATTGACATAATTTATCATTTTTCAGGCAAGTTTTGGAGATTTTAGCAGCAATAAGGAAAGAAAACATCGATGAATTAGCGCAAGCTATATACGATAATACAAATAAGTTATTCTTTAGTTAATAAGCCCATAATCGTTATTATTTTTGGATCAAATATTTATTTATAAAATAAAACCAATATTTAAATCACTAACAATATTTTATTTCATTGTGACTCCTTACAATAACTTCGTACAACACAACATTAAATCATCTTTCGTACTGAGGAATGGTATTGGCAAAAGATATGAATAAGGAAAAAATACAAAATAATATTTAAATATACAAAGTTAAGACCTGACTGAATACAGGAACCACTCAAAGATGGAGTTCGAGCATAATTAATAATAATAATTTAAAAATAAAGTACATAATTTCCATCATAGACTAATTTAGAACACATCTTATTAGTACAAATAATAAGTATATTTTCACAAAACATGATCTCAATAGTTGGTTTAGAAAATAATTTCATCAAGGTGGACATGAATGCAAAATAAATGCACTACAGGAATGTGGAATCAAGTAATACTTGTCATGGAAACGATTAAAAATCTCTAACTTAGACATGGCGTAAAATTATTTGGAATACAATTGATGATAGGGTAGAGATGAGTAAAAATATTTACAACAAGAGTAGATTACATTATTGTACTCGATTTTAGAAATTTCTAGCAACAAATGATATACATAAAATGAGAATTGGTGTTTTGAGGTCAACTATTTTGTGCTTTTCAATACTAAAACAAAAATAATCAGATCTAAGAATGCCATATGAATTGATATGAAGTGGAAATAGCCATAAAATCCTGTACTACTTTATATCAAAGTGATACAGATTTTAAGGGTACTTCCTGGTTATTGGAAAACACTGAGTATGAAGACTAAAATGGCAATATCTGTTCTTACTTCTATTATTTTGTATTGTATGGAAAAATAAACTACACAATTTTGTGATCGAGTACCCTGGGGTTCTTTTTCGATTAAAACATATTAAAACTGACTATGACTGGCAACACAGAGAGACACCCAGTTTCACATGTCAATTTCTCGAGGCTAAGCTAGCAACACTAAATTCTTATGCTCCAATCACACAGCTTGTCTACGAGTGTTGCCAATTTCAAATGTAAAACAAAAAATATACAAAACGACATGTCTTTTCGCATATTTAAAATATCGAAAGGAATTATTTGTAATTTACAATAGTTCTAATTTACAGGTATTTCCTTTAAATATCAAATAATTGTGAAGAACAATAATGTAACAAAAATAAACCATTCACACATAGATGTTACTCCTTTTAACTATGTCTAATTATGATTATCATTTTTCTACAATGCAACCACAATTAGACACAGTAGGAATTGTTTAAGAATACTTGGAAATTCATAAAGGATAAACAATACACACAAATGTGTAACTTCTCTAAATTAATATGAACCGTACCTGCCGGTTGATTTAGTTACTTCATTTCAAATTCATTAATTTTAATATCTATCAATGTGTAATAAATTAATTTTGTGACACATGAAATATGAATAATATGATCTAATAAGAAAATAAATCAGTCCAAAATATCTATCCTCTTTGAAAATCCAAGTAATAAAGACTGTATGTGATGTAAAGTGTACACACGATATTTAAATATTAGCTAGTTATAAAGCAAAAATCACAGTAACACTAATTTTTCGAGACTAAAGATACTATTCAGATGTTCAACAAAAGTATATTTTCACCTAACAACTAGCTTATATTTAAATACTTTGAACATGAGTATGAGTACACCAAACGATCACACAGCCTTTTAGCTGATTTACACAGCAATAATACAGTAGCAAATTCGTTTTCTTTTAGATCACAAAATAAAGAGAAGTAAAACTTGCCACAGTATTAGTCTGACGAAAGCTGTCCACAAAGATATAGCGACGATTTAAAAAAACACTACCCAGGTTATAAACTTAAGGATAAGGTTCAGTTGAGTGATACTACTTAATACATGCAATGAGTTATCAACTGTATAACTTGAGCAGATAAAAAATGGATCCCAAATTGGAAACATTATTGTTGACATCCTGTTTATAAGTCCTAAAAGATGATAGAGAGGCAAACAATAATGCCAATTCGGGATCCCCTCTTTATCTGCGCAAGTTATAAGTGTATACTCTGTGTTTTAGTAAAAATTTGGTACAATATGTGGCCATTTCGTTTGGACAGCTTTCGTTCAGACTGGTCGATGCGTAAATCAGCGTTGAACAGCGTTGTTAGAATGTAAGGTCTCACACACTCGCTCAGGGTATCTCGGAGTAGAGTTGCACGTGTTTCCGCAGCCACACGAAGTACGTGTGCACGTGCGTGCGCGTGGCGTTCAGCGCGGTCGCCGTCTTGTTGGACAGTACGTCTGGAGCCCACTCGCCACTGGAAACAAGGAGAATACATTTCAATTTAAAAAGTAATACAAGCAAATACATATTTAAAAAGACTGAATATTTGACACAATGAAGTTAATAATGTAGTTGCAAAACTATCTCGGTGGATGGAGCTCTGCCACGCGTTAGTGGTCACGATACACATCATCATCTTCCTGCCCTTATCTCAATTACTTGGGGTCGGCGCAACACGTTTCGTTGAACACAAAATCGTGTTGCAAAAGGATCTGGCTGAATTTTACGACCAGCCGCCTACCAGACGTCAACCCTCCTTGGGAATGCTTTTGTGGTGGATTAACCGCCACCATACGGTTGGCCCTGGCTGTTTGGGTAGGGTTCATCTTTCGGCCGCCTCTTACGACCCCCACGGGAAGAGAAGGGTTGGTGCTATTCTAATCTGCCGGCACCATATGGCATACACACACTTGCTTAGTTTCGCAGGTTAACATTAAGCCTATATGGTACAGGCGACACTATAGTCCGACAAGTTCGTGCACGACCTTCCTGCGGGGTACAGACGGTAGGGGGGCGAGGAAGCACGTCATTATAATATGACGTGCGGCGCGGATGCGCGCGTCTCCCTTCCCCGCTACACCTCCCGCTACCCGCTGACATCTCTCCCCCCAACGTCTGTCACCCCTAGGGAAGGTCGCGCACGAACTTGCCGGACTATAGTACAGACGGCGAAAATCACAGGTTCATATTTTACATGCAGTGGAAAAATTCGCAAAGATATAAAGATGAAAATTTTCCAAAAATATCTCTAACAGTGTTTCAAAATTTGGTATATAATGAAGTGTTTATTATTTGAGACTTACAAGGGTAATTTATAGCTTTTTGATTAAATACTATCAGTAAAATTTATGGTTATAATACTGTAATAAAACTGTGTCTAGGTATTATAGTCAACTGGTGATTAAAATAAGTATTAATCAGGTTTTAATATACAACAATAAAAACAAAAATTAAAAAGTAGAAAGGAACTTACACAAACACTTTAGTCTTGAAGTAGTCAGCTGTCAGTGTATAATACTCGGTAGAATATTTCCTGACAAACTCATATCCCGCTGCCGCATACCCTGTCACTTTATCCACTAGTCCAGGAGCATACTCCTCGATCGTTCCAACCACTACTGGTGTCTTGGCCGCTATGTAATCTCTCGTGTTCCCATAAAGAACTCCGGCCTTCTTCACAGCCAGGAAGAAAATATCTTTAGTCAGCTCTCCGTAAGGCTTGGCTACTTCAATGGTCTGCGTGTAGTAGATCGGCGCATTGGTTTCCAGCCAAAGGTAGCCTCGTGCTGAAGTGGAAAGGGTCTTCTGCCAAGCTTTTTGACTGTGCTCGAGTATGCCTAGGTCTTTGAACAGTTTGCCTGTTGAGCTTTCTGTGAAAAAACAAATGTATGTATGAATAAACTGTTATTTCTTGTGCTTATAATAAACAAGAAAAAAAGTTAATAAAGTTACACTGTATTAGGTGCGTCCACACTGCGCGAGGCAAATGCTCGTGAGGCCTACGCTCGTGAGGCTCGCGAGCCAATTCGGCCCAATTTGGACGCGTACGTTTGAGTTGCCTACGCGCGCTCGCCCGAGCATGACCTTGGGTGAGCCCGAGCGTATGTCTCGGCAGTTGCCTCGCGCAGTGTGGACGCGCCTATTGACGTAAATTATTTTTCTATTTATTTTGTGGAAAATCTTGTGAGGTTTTTAAGCAAATCATTTCCTATCCTATCCTACATGTGTATTAAAATCCGATAATATGTTGACAAAAACATAAGAATGGAACTACATTGTTGCAGCACTAGTATTTAGAGATAGCAGCATTTTGCAATCACAGAACAAGCTAAAGGTGCTAAAGGTTAACTGAGATACTGAATAGAGGAAAACAAGCATAATTATTGAAAACAAAATCTGAC